CCCCAAAACCCCATCCCCAAAACCCCAAAACCCCAAAACCCCAATTTTTAAAAGATTTATTGAAAAATGAAAGACGATCCCATCACGAAGGTCAGAGTCACAGGACAATGGAAGTATGTCCAGGATATCCCAGAAGAATCTGAGAGAAAACTTACTGGAAATGTGTATGTCAACCATGAGTTTGAGTCCTGGGCTGACAACCGTCCCTCGCGTGTTATGGCACTCAAAGATCAAAGGAAGTCATACGAGCACTACAAGCCAAAACAAAATAAAGAATTTACAATGATGACAATGGATGGGTCAAACTATGTGGTAAATTTTATCGAAATAACTCTAAATTTAGGCTCCAGGTAGCTCACAAATCTACTATGGAAACTTCTATGAAGACTGGACTGAATACGCACTCGAAGATGGTAGACCTTATTGGCACAATGCTGATCTTGGTCTAAGTACTTGGGATGACCCAATGTTCATTCTTGAGGTGCTCAAAAAGAATCATATCAAAAACTCTATTGATATGATCCCCCACTATTGGAAGAATATTGAGAATACCCCGTTCATCGAATTGGAGATGAAGAATGGGCAAAAATTATATATCCACAGAGCATTCAAAAGAGTTTTCGATAAGAACCCTCTCATGCCAGAAGAGGAAGCTACCAACATCAAAATCAAAACCGAGCGAGAAAAGGATCTCATGCAGAAAGTCAGAGAATCCAGACTCAAAAGAAGACAACTCAAGGAGAAATCTAAAAAGGAGGAACCTGAGCCAGAAGTTAGACTTGAAGAAGATCCTATTCATCAACAAGTAGAGCAACCTATGGATCAACCCCAACCTCAGTTTTCTTTGAAACCTGCTAAAATTCATAGGCCAGGAGACGCTCAACAGCCAAGAGATGAAGAAATGAAGGAAACGGCCCCTCAATCTCATCTAAACGAGAATGTTGGTGAGAGAAAGGAGATCAAAACAGAGATTATTAATGATGACGAAGACCTTAACTCTTCATCAGATGAAGACCCAAATGTTCCATCGGCTGAGGACCCAAATGCTCCTTCTGATGAAGATCCTAATGCTCCTTCAGAAGAAGATCCCAATGCTCCTTCAGAAGAAGACCCCAATGCTCCTTCAGAAGAAGATCCCAATGCTCCTTCAGATTCAGAACTTGACCCAAATGCAGAGTCAGAAGATGAGCTTGATCCAAATGCTGCTAGCTCAGAAGAAGTATCAAACAAAGCTGAAAATCAACCTGAACCAGCTCAGGACTCAGAAGAGCCAACTGTAATGTCAATGTTTGAAAGGAAAAAGCTTCAAATACAAAAGAGCAAGGAGACTTTGGCCCAATACGAGTCAATTGCAATCGAGTTCCTCGAACTCAAAAGAATCACCCCAGAAACCGACTTTGATGAATTCGATGACCTTGTAAAAGCCAAACTTAAAGGAAGAGTTGCCATGAGCCGTAAGCAGAAGGAAGAGTGCTTCATATCCGCCATTAAGAGATTCAAGAATCAAAAGAAAGACAAAATCAAGCAGAACTTCATCGATTACGTTAAAAGAATTCTTCCAGAAGTGGATGTTAAGGAGACAACTGCCTTCAAAGACTACAAAGAAGTCCTTAAAGGTAACTGTAAGCTTACTTTTTACCAAATTTAGTGAAGGTCTAGGAGCTTGTCATGCCAACCCCCATATCTACAAATCAGTCAGCAAGAGCAAGAGGGAGAAGTACTTCAAAGAATACGTAAGCAACGTTCTCGAAGAACGTGAGAAGAATAATAAAGTCTCTCTGAAGCAAAGACTTGAACTCCTGAAGAAGAAAGAAGAGAAAAAGAAGGAACGTGACAGAAGAAAGCTTGAAGAAGATGACCCCAAGGAAGCTAGGAAGCGCAAACTTGAAGAAGCAGTCGAGAATTACAACGAAATGCTTAAAGAGAAAGTCACTGACCCAGACCTTGACTGGGAACAGGCCCAGAAGCTGATCGAAAATGATAAAAGGTACAGAAACGAAGCTATTTTCCCTGACAAAAGGGAGAAACTGTGGAAGTCCCATAGGCATTTCCTCTTCGTTGAGAAAAGAGAGCAAAAGAAGAACCAAAGAAAGAATAATCATTAGAAATTTAGGTGACCTGTATTTCAACTATAAATAAGTATCACGGGGTTTTGGGGTTTTGGGGTTTTGGGGTTTTGGGG